GGGCCGCTTGTCCACCACCACCACCACCACCACCCACCACCACCACCCACCCACCCACCGTCTGTCTGCACCACCACCACCACCACCGCTACCACCACCACCGTCACCACCACCACCACCACCACCACCACCACCACCGTCACCACCACCACCACCACCACCACCACCCGTCCACCCACCACCACCACCACCACCACCACCACCACCACCACCACCACCGTCACGTCCGCCACCACCACCACCACCACCACCACACCGCGACCACCCACCACCACCACCACCACCGCCACAAGTCACCACCACCGTCACCACCACCACCACCACCACCACCACCACCGCCACCGTCACCACCACCACCACCACCACCACCACCCATCACCACCACCACCGTCACCACCGCCGCACCACCACCCACCACCACCACCCGCCCACCACCACCACCACCACCACCACCACCGCCACCACCACCACCACCACCACCACCGCGTGCCGCACCACCACCACCACCACCGTCACCACCACCACCACCACCACCACCGTCACCACCCCGCCACCACCACCGCCACCAGTGCCACCACCCACCACACCACCACCACCACCACCACCACCGTCACCACCACCACCGTCACCCACCACCACCACCACACCACCACCACCACCACCACCACCACCGCCACCACCACCACCACCACCACCACCACCACCACCACCACCGCCACCCACCACCACCACCACCGCCACCACCACCACCACCACCACCACCGCCACCACCGCCACCACCACCACCACCACCACCACCACCACCACCACCGCCACCACCACCCCTACGATATTCACCGTAAAGGGGCGTTTGTGTGCTCTCTCTCTCTCTCTCTCTATCTGTCTCTTGTAACTTACTGTATATTTACGTGTTCGTTGGTGTTCGAGCTTCCTTAAGACAGACAGGTATCTGTCTCTTGTAACTTACTGTATATTTACGTGTTCGTTGGTGTTCGAGCTTCCTTAAGACAGACAGGTAGACAGATAGATAGATAGAAGGAATAAGACAGACAGACTACAAGAACAAGAGAGAGATATAGAGACAAAAAGAGAAAGAAATAGAGAGAGAAAGAGCGAGAAAGAGAAGGAAAGAAAGATAGAGAGAAAGAAAGATAGAAATAAATATATATAGAGAAAGAAACCAAAGGAGAGAGAGCCTTTTGTAACAGCACCACCATAAAGGCTCTCTATCTGTTACACTTCCCGGATGTATGAACCTTCTGCCCTTTTAATTACATTGATTTTGTTAAAGATAATCAGCAGGAGGATGAACGAGGCCATTCAGGTCATTAACAGGTGTTTTATGGTGTGTGTGTGTGTGTGTCCTGTCATTAGAACTACTACTACTACAGCTACCACCACTACCACCACCACCATAACAATAACAACCACAACAACAACCACAACAACAACAACAACCACCACAACAACAACAATAACGACAACAACCACCACCACCACCACAACAACAACAACAACCACCATCACCATAACAACCACAGCCACAACCATAACCACAACCACAACCACAACAATTATATCTTACCCCTGACCAAAAATTACAAAATAAATGACAGTTTTAACTCGTGGGTATCGATAGTGACCTTCTGACCTATGAATTTGACCTCAGCTATCACCCTTGACCTTCTCACCTATACTTGCCTATAATTACGAGAGAGTAGATACCACCTGACCTCTTGGCATCAGAATTATTGACCTCTATTTCGACCTTTCCTATAATTCGTGACCTTTGACCTGTAGTTTTAGAGATGTGGATGAGTCTGACCTGTGTGATTATAATGACCTTCCGTCTCATGATTATAGAGAGGTTGATGAATTTGACCTTTGGCATTATAGGTTAATTTTGACGTATAATTATGGATGAACTTTGACCTATAATTATGGAGTTATTTTTTACCTCAGTTATCAGATGACCTTTGAACTGTAATTATAGATAGATAAAGAGATTTTACGTACTTTATATAATTTACCTCTGACCTTCAATCATAGAAGATGAGATAAAGACAGACAGACAGACAGACAGACAGACAGACTGACAGACAGACAGACTCATAATGCCAGTGAGTTTATGTCGGTTTTAAAATGCCTCTTCCCCCCTCACCCCCTCTTTTCCTCGCCCTCCTCCTCTCACTCTTCCCCCACCTCAACCAACCCCCATTTCCCCCTCCTGTCTCCCCTCCTTCCCCTAACCTCTCCTTCTTTCCCTCCTTTCCTCCCCGCCTTCTCCCCTCCTACCTCCGCCCCCCTATCTTCCTCTTCCAACACTCACAGATAAATTGTCTAAATTATGTCAGTGCAGAACCACCACAATTTTATATGCTACGTGGGCGTGGTGGGGGAGGGATGGCGTGGTGGGGGGAGGGCGTGGGCGTGGTGGGGGAGGGGATTATGTGGTGGTGGAGGGAGGGAGGAAAATGAGAGTAATTCAAGATGAGGAGATTAAATGTTTTGAAGGTAAGAGGTAGGTCTCTCTCTCTCTCTCTCTGTCTCTCTCTCTCTCTCTTTCTCTCTGTCTCTCTCTCTCTCTCTCTGTCTCTCTCTCTCTCTCAGTACCTTTCGTAATTCAGGCAAAGATTGTCATACATACATACATACTGTACATATACAGGTATAGGCTTCACACACACACACACACACAGGACCCAGGTGTGTTGAGTAAAACTTTACCTATAATAATTGGTCGAGGTTATTTTCCCCGGGCGCGTCCCTGACCCAGTTGTAAGTCCCTCCCTCCCTCCTCTCTCTTCTCTCCTCCTGTTACTATTATTACTCCTCCTACTTCTATTCCCCCTCCTACTATTTCTCCGATTAGTCCTTCTTCTCCTATTATTCCTCCGTCTTCCTCTCCTCCTATTATGTCTCCTCCTTCTTCTCCTCTTCCTTCTTCTCTTCCTTTTGTTACTATTTTTGCTCTCCCCCTACTTCTCCTATTCTTCCTCCTTCTCCTCTTTTTCCCACTCCTCCTATTACTATTATTAGTCTTCCTCTCCTCCTACTTCTCCTCCTCCTATTCCTCCTCCTCCGTCTCTTCCTTCTCCTATTACTTCCATCCCCCCTCCTACTCCTTCTATTACTCTCCATCCTCCTTTCAAATATTCTTGCTCCTCCATCTTCCCCTCCTCCTCCTTTTCCTCCTCCTCACTTTCTTCTCTTCTTTATTCCCTTCTCTTTCTTGTCATTCTTCTTTACCATTACTCTTTTCTTCCTTATTATTACTCCTTCGTTCTTCTTCTTCTTCTTCTTCTTCTTCTTCTTCTTCTTCTTCTTCTTCTTCTTCTTCTTCCCTTCATTCTTACTTCAATAACCCAACCCAGTTACCCATTGTCGTCACTCTTTAAAGTCCGTCTGTCTGTCTGTCTGTCTGTCTGTCTCTGTCTGTCTGTCTGTCTGTCTTATTTACATAGCCATCACATCCTCCCAGTGTGTGTATCGACCCCAAGAAATAGTTTTAATACATTATAACATCGACTTAATCTTTATATCGTCTTCCAATTTTAAGTGTTTGTTGTACGTGTTCGTTAAGATAACATACAGGGTTAAATGTCTTAGTTGTGGTAGCGTATTATAACATCAACCTAATTACAAACATACATTCAGAAAAATAACAGTTAGGGGTAAAGAATATCACTATCAACACTATATAAATCTATTACCTTCGGTCTTAATTATCAACAAACTCTATTAACACAACTAACTCTTGCGCCCGTATTATTAAACATCTTCCCTTGAAGAGGGTCGTCGTGTTTTAACCCGAGTTTTAAACTTATTGAGTCCTGAGGGACACCGCAGTACAGTACTTAACGGAGTGGTGTGGCGGTAAAATTAACTAATTCCAATAAAATTAATTTATAATATTGGAATAAGTTCATTTTACCGCCACACCACTCCGTTAAGTACTGTACTGCGGTGTCCCTCAGGACTCAATAAGTTTAAAACTCGGGTTGAAACACGACGACCCTCTTCAAGGGAAGATGTTGTTTAATAATGCGGGCTCTTACTAAACTAATTCTTGGTCTTAATTATCAACAAACACTCTTAACACAAGTAACCCAAATTATACCACAAATTACACACATTAATTAAATTATCAAAGCACAATAAAATAAATAACAATAATAAAAACATAACATATATTACCATGAGGTCCTCAGTAGATCAAAGCGTTTAGATAATGTTTAAAGATGCTGTATATACAAGTATGAGCTAAATATATGTATAAAAATATAAACTAAATATACTGTATATAAAGAAGTGAAATATAAAATAGCTTATATGTTATTTAAGTGTGAACGGTAGTAGTAGTTTGTTGTAATGTTAAAAAGAAAAAAAATCTTATACTCGAAAGTTGATTTTCTAAGCCTCGTATGTCGAATTTTCCCGTAAGTTGCGTTAAGTTTTAAATATTTAACTGATTCACTAATATTTTTTAGACACAATCAAAATGGCGTCAAAATTACACTGAAACTCTACCTTACATGCTAAATAGATAGAGAATAGCCGTGTTGACACGAGAAAAAAATCAACATACAGGTACGTCTTTTTTCACTTGTGTGTGGAGGGGGGGGGTGAATTAACTCCGGGTTATACAATAAAGAATATGTGATTTAATATCGTAAATATGTATAGTTTCTTATTTGAAATTACATTGATTATATTAAGTGTTATTTTATCTAGGGGAGTTATAGTAATTGAAGTACATTAGTATTATTTCAAAGAGTATGACGTCAACATTTTGTTTACTCAACACCACAAAATGGAACTGATCTACAAGGCGAAAAATCCAAGAATGATAGGTAATATATATAAATGTAACCCCTATATTATAAATGTGTTATATATGTACCTTAATCATGATATTATGTGAGATGTGTTATTTTAGTAGTTTTTTATAGATATATATGAGAGAAAAACGGTTAAACGCAGAGCACATGCAGACTCACCTAACACTCCATGAAGTCTGTGAGGGAGAACAAGGATTGTGTTACAAATGTTATATTGGCAGTGAAGCATTAACTGTACGGTATATTAGTCACGGTGTGTGTGTGTGTGTGTGTGTGTGTGTGTGTGTGTGTGTGTGTTATCGAAGGAATTGGTTAAGTTTATTTAGTTGTTTTAAATATTTTAGTTACATGAAATATATAATGTTATGAAATAATTATACAAAATATGTGTGTTTGTGTGTGATGCCTCGTGACTAATATACCGTAAGCCATATTATTACTAGTAACTAATAATGGTCTGATGATCTATATTATAAAGACAAGTAATCAGCCGTAAGAAGCATTATTTTCATGTAAAGCCGACGGCAGTGTTGAGCATTATTCACTAAACGGAGACAAGTGAATGACCTTGCTGCTATATTATATCTACTGGCTCTGTGTATATATAGGGTGAGACATTAAGTAGTTACCTGGGTACTATAATATATGGCCTGGTTTATTATAGTAGCCTGGATATACTTAATGATTTACTATAGCAACAGCGAGGAGTACAATTATATATATCATGACACAGGGAAATACTGTACCACATATATGGGGGTCGTGTAAGTGAAGGGTTTATGTTGACAGATCTTAGAAGGGTTGGGTTAGGTTAGGTTAGGTTAGGTTAGGTTAGGTTAGGTTAGGTTAGGTTAGGTTAGGTTAGGTTAGGTTGGGTTAGGTTAGGTTGGGTTAGGTTAGGTTGGGTTAGGTTAGGTTAGGTTAGGTTAGGTTAGGTTAGGTTAGGTTAGGAGTGACAGACAGTAACAGGGTGTTGAGGAGTAATGAGGGAGAGTGTGGTGGGGACAGACGGACGGACACAGAAGAAAACAGACGTCATACTTACAAGGTGTGTGCGCTGGTGGGCGCCTGCGAGGGAGGAAAATAAATGTTACTAGTCCTCGCCTCTTTCTCTCCCTCTCTCGCCTGTCCTCGTGGCTAGGGGGCAGGTGAGGTTGTCCTCCTAGCGGGGAGGGGTCGAGAGACCCCTCCTCACTGTCCTGTCCTCACCCCCACGTCCTCCTCGATCGCCTCACTGGACGATGCTGCGACAAAGTTGACTCACACCTGAGAGAACTGAATCCAATATCTCTTTACTTCTCTCAGCCCCTTCAGCACCACCACACTAGCTCTTCCTCACTCACTGTATCACTGCACTAGCACTGTCCTGGTCATCACTCGCATCACACTACAGAAGTCACTGCATCTTTGTTGGTACTTGTTACTGCGCCTTACTACATCACTGACGCCTGGCACTGTGCCGCCTACCCGGTATTTCACGAGTATAGCACTGCATGTCACTGTATCGTTCATATGTCATTGCATCACTTAAATGACCCCTCATTTTATTTTACTGTCACTGCATCGTTCTGATATGACACTCCACATCCCTGCACCTCCTATACAACATCACAAGTCACCACATCCCTGCACCTCCTATACAACATCACAAGTCACCACATCACTGCACCTCGGGTCATTGTCAACAGCACTACACACGAGCTTCCATAAATTGACTGATATATGGATCTCTCAACAGGACGCTGGTCTCTTGTGTTCAGTTGACTGTATCCTGTAGACGTGTTCAAGGCTCTGTAGAATTAGTCCTATCCTGTAATGGCAAAAGAAGGTTAGGTTAGGTTATGTTATGTTAGACCATTTTAGGTTAGGTTAGAATTGGTTAGGTTAGGTTTTGTTAGACTAGGTTAGGTTAAGTTAGATTAGTTAGGTTAGGTTAGGTGAGGTTAGACAAGGTTAGATTATGTTAGACTATGTTAGGTTAGGTTAGACCAGGGGTGGGCAAAGTGCGGCCCGCGGGCCACATTTGGCCCGCCAAATTATTTCTGTGGCCCGCCACTGTATTTGGCAATCAGAAAAAAAAAATTCTTATTAATTACAGAAAGGACAATTTTGGAAGTTGGGTGGACATAGCAGCAATACTGGCTCGTCTCTGTTAACCTGTGGCCGGCGAAGTGTGCCACCATTCATGAAGTGGCCCTCCATCAAAAATAATTGCCCACCCCTGGGTTAGACTATGTTAGGTTAGGTTAGACTAGGTTAGGTTAGACTAGGTTAGGTTAAACTAGGTTAGGTTAGGTTTGGTTAGACTAGGTTAGGTTAGGTTAGACTAGGTTAGGTTATGTTATGTTAGACCATTTTAGGTTAGGTTAGACTAGGTTAGGTTAGAATAGGTTAGGTTAGGTTAGGTTTTGTTAGACTAGGTTAGGTTAAGCTAGATTAGGTTAGGTTAGGTTAGGTGAGGTTAGACAAGGTTAGGTTATGTTAGACTATGTTAGGTTAGGTTAGACTATGTTAGGTTATGTTAGACTATGTTAGGTTAGGTTAGACTATGTTAGGTTAGGTTAGGTTAGGCTATGATAGGTTTGGTTAGACTATGTTAGGTTAGGTTAGACTATGTTAGGTTAGGTTAGACTAGGTTAGGTTAGGTTAGACTATGTGATTGCTGTTTTATTATTATTATTATTGAAGACAACAGTTTTATCTATGCAGTATTTTCATTCACGTATAATTCTTCACAATTGCTCTCTTTTTATAGGTGTTATTTGTTCTTCTCAGAATAATCCTGGAACCGTTTTACCTCCACCACACAGCCAGACTGAGGCACCAACGTTATTTTGTTCAGTGAAACTCAACTCTCTTTATGTAAGTAAGAATTTCACTCTGTCATTATAAAAGTAAAGTCTTTCTCTCTCTATTTCTCTTTTAACAGCATCAAAAGTCACGCACCGTGTTACGAATGTGTCCCTCGAGGCTGTAAAGTAATATTAGAGTAATGAGTGGCGGGAACAGTGTTACCAACCAGGGCGGTGAATGCCTGGCTCCCAAACCTGCTGGTGCGAGGAGAGTAAACGATCATGTCTATTAAGCGTTTTGATGCTAAGTAAATCCTAAGCGTGATATTTTACTGAATTTTGGGGAGCGTTCGCGTAGCATCGATACGGATGTTAAATTTAATGTCTACATTACGTTAGATTTACGTTATGTTTGGTTAGATTTTCTATATGTTAAGATTAAGAAAGGATAACTTGAGCTATCCAAGGTAAGGATAAACATAGCGTTCTTATACAATATACACATACATTTCTCATCTAACACAGTCTTCCCACCCCCCTCCGTGACTCGTTCGTTCAATAAGTAATTATGACATTTAACACACAAAAAAATCCAAAACTTTACGTTGAGTCGATAATTCTGTGAAGATGGAAATTATCTTCTGTGATTGGTGACGATCTCGTTTTATTATTATTGTTTATTTTGTTTTAATTGTTAGAAAATGTGCAGTTATGCCTGGGCTAAAAGGGCGTCTTTACGGGTCCAGCCAGAAGAAGATTTTGATTATTAAAACATCATTAAATCTTATTAAAGAAACTGACAGAACATGATCAAGTCTTATATGTGTAGCTGCCAGTGTATCGTAAGTAAATAAATAAACCAGATTCTTACAACGAAAAGACAACCGTGAACGAAGGTAAGTTAAGTCAATTCCACACAAGCGTTCACTTATAGTCAATCACGACGTCACCTGAACACACTTGGTCATTTTTTAACGAAGTGTCTGTACTCATAAGGTGTTCAAATGTGTGTCAAGTTTCAAGAAAGTCCCTCCTCTCGTTCACAGTCAGGCTACACCACAGACGAGACGACCAAGTTTATTACATCTACATAACTCGTCTGGGTAATAACTGGTGGTGTTATGGGCTCTCGTCACAACACGTTCTCTCTCCTTATCATTATGTATCTGTTGCGTTAGTGACATAACTCCTTGTATAATAATTCTTCGGCGTTGTGAACGTATGATAGACGTCTACGAGTTGTGATGTTAATATTTATGGTTGTTATTGTGTGTTGTAATATAGTGATATATATCTAACAGTAAAACTAATTTAATTATATATAACTATCTTCTATATCTAGACATATTGTTGTTAACTTATTCAATAACATATGGTATCAATGCCATCTAATAACAGATTAATTACAAAAACATAATATAATTCTCTATGTAAAGAATTATTGACTTTATAATTATACAGCTTTGATGTTGCCGTTTATGTTGCTTCTTTCAGATTATAATAGTTATGTCTCTCAACTGTTAGTATTTAGCCCACCATTTTCATAAAGACGTTCTTGTTTGGTGTTGTAAGCGACCATAACAGTGACGGTTCATTTACCCCAGTTGACGAGTTTCTGTGGTTAGAAGTCCAAAGAAAGTATACAGTATAATTTAGGCTTATTTTAGTAATATTTAGGCCAAATTGAGTTGAAAATTAACACTAAAATAATTTGCTATCAACCACACCAATAAAGAATAAAAAATGCGACTTGTGCATATTTGGTTAATTTGGTCAGGTCATATATCGTGAATAATCCTAATTTGGGAGACTTATTATAGTGTTTAATGAGAGTAAAGTCTGAGCTTGGTTTTGTTATGTTATTTTTAGACGTTAATATTTGTGTTTTGGGTTGAGAATTTCAGTCAGTCAGTTTTGTACATTTTTACACGTTAACCCAGCACGAGAAACATTCATACCCGGGAACTATAACTTACCCTAATATTTTTTCATATAGTCAAAAACTTTGAGTGAAGATTTAACCCCATCGTGAATATAGTGAGTGAATAACGTGATATATAACTATGGTATAAGTAACGTTGTTATTCATTATATAGTGTATATTTCCAAAAGACTCGTGTTCTTCCTTATATAGTATAGTTATGTTATTATAGCAGGATGGAAGCGAACTGGTGACTCTTTGAAACACGAAGCGAGGGATGTATCCAATCAGCCACTGTGGACCAATTATATTACTTGATGGTTTTTTAAAAAAAACAATACCACATTTTATTTTATTTTTAATTTCTTTTATGAATGTTGATCAGTTTTGGGGTGTTTTGTTATAACGGAAATTAGCGAACGCAGCGCTTCGATAAATACAGGTTAAAGCATCGTCGATATTTATAACACGGGGATAGTTTACGATTATTCTATTTAACGGATTATTATGGAGAAAATAGTCCGTTATATCGAGGGTTCGCTGGATGTGAAACCTCCATCTAACGAACTATATAGAACTCCGTTATATCGAGGGTTCGTTAGATGAAACCTCCATCTAATGAACTATATAGAAGTTCATTATATCGAGGGTTCGTTAGATGAAACCTCCATCTAATGAACTATATAGAACTCCGTTATATCGAGGGTTCGTTAGATGAAACCTCCATCTGACGAACTATATAGAAGTTCATTATATCGAGGGTTCGTTAGATGAAACCTCCATCTAATGAACTATATAGAAGTTCATTATATCGAGGGTTCGTTAGATGAAACCTCCATCTAACGAACTATATACAGTAAAGAAAATCCGTTATATCGAGGATTCGTTAGATCTACAAACCCCCATCAAACGGATTATATGGAGATAAGTCCATTATATAGAGGTTTCGCCGTACTCTGCTTATTAAGAATCTTATAAGAATTTATTTAAAATTTAGAGAAAATCCACTTAGTTGTTGACGTATTTCATCGATTATTTGAATTATTCTACAATTAATTTTATTTAATTCTGACGATATTAATGTGGATTATATTTATTTTGTGATTATTTAAATGACAATATAATTTGATGTAGTAATTAAGTACTTTTAATTATACCAGTGTTAAAATTGGTCTTATATATATTTTGTGATTAATATATTTATTATTACTAGTATTATCATTCTAGTAGTAGCGTATGACAACACTTCGCTTGGATAACTCACTGCTAACTACAATACTTACCTTCAGTTATGGTATCTCGGTTATCGGTAAAAATAACCTAAATTTACTCAGTGATAATTTATAGTCATTAAGGGTTATTATGGATCGCATCGTTGTTTTATAGTAGTTTTCGGTTATAAATAATTTGTACAGTACGTGTGGGTGCGGCTCCCGGGGGCAGATGAGAGAGATTTGCTGTATATTTGAGATTAATTACACACACACAACAGTCAGTTCACAGTCAGTTCACACTTCATCACAGGATCTGGCGGCCTTAATTATTTCAACTTCATATTTTGTTACTAAAAACTCGCCCGATGAACTGTGTATTTTTTTACTTTATTTTTTTTGTCAAGTTATCATCATCAGGAGACAGTACAGTACAGTATCAGGCTGCCGACACGACTGATGATGCTCACGTAACAGCTGGCCATAATCACATCATCTAGTTCACACAACCTCGCCGCTGTCACCAGTCCTCACAACTCTCACCCGGGATCATTTTTCATCTGTTTATATGTTACAAACACTGTGTTATCTCGAGGGGCAGCACATTATTCACCTGCTTGTCACGGGCGAGGTTGGCCAGCAGTAATTGTGCTAGGGGTCGCGTGTCGTGCATAAGTGTCACTACAAGAGCTTCTCTGATTATCTTGCCACCACCCTCCTGCTCTCCCTCTGTTGCCTCTTGCTCACTCCTCCCAGGTCTTGAACATATGTTTTAAGTAAGTGTCTGTCACGTATGCCTCAGTAAAAATAGATACACCACCACAACACCACATACTGTACACATCTGCCCGGGTAATGAGTGTTGCTACTTTCCCGTAGTTTCTCCCCTAAACTAACACACAGAGTGTCTACCACGAGAACAGAAAAACACACACAAGAATTCACAAGATGGGAAAACCGAAAGGGAGAATATATTAACGATGAAAAGGCAGTGGAGGGTGGTGGTGAGTGGCCGGGAGCGAGGCGCTGGGTGTGTGGGACCCCACCTGTG